AAAAGCATCGGCAAGCGGCCACACGTGACACGGTAACGACCTTGGACTGAAACAAGTCGCAAGTCCATTCAAGTTCCAGCGAGCTCGGTGAGCGACTTCTTTGTGTCGCTGATGCTAGAACATCAAACGACTTCCGTTTGTCGGGAAAGCATTTGTCGCTCGGTGGGTAATGTGGAAGATATCGTGGTAGATCGATGGTAATTACGAGCTGCTGTTTCTCCAAGGTCGGTTTCCGCAACGCTGAACGAAGACACCTCTAGATGCCGTACCTACAAAGGGCTTTCATGGCAAACCCATGCTTCTTCTGCTAGGATTGAACCTCACACAACCGCATGTTGACACTCCGACGCCATTTCTTGTGCAGAGTAGCCGAAGTTCAGGATTAATCGAGTGTTCATCAACAGAAAGAAGTTATATGAATCATAGAGATGTGAGAGGGAGAAAGCGCGAAGGACGCCTCGTCAAACGACTGGAGCCACTGCAAATATGGTAGCACGCTCAGACCTTGGGCACGAACCCTCTGTAGCGCGGGTTGACGCCACCAAACTGATCCACATGCGCTTGTAACGTTCACGACACGAATGGCCTATCCGTCAAAAAAAGTACGTCCTTGTTTTTCATCGACTTCACTCCGACTTTCGCCCACTACAAATTGTTGTTGTCAGAACACAACACCGAACATGCCGCCTCTGCGATGCGTAGCATGACCATCCCGCTTAAAGGGCTTTTCCTGGCCGACAGCTCAAGAAAATGGTCGCTTTGTCGACTTACTGCCTGGATGGTGAGCACCGTGAATGGGCATCCTTGCATTCATAGCCTCTCAAATCGCGGATGTCGCACGGAAGCAGTGTGTCATATACGCTACTAGTCACCGCCAAGGCAGAGCATGCAGGATAGGTGAGATCAGATAGAGACTCGTGAACATGAACGCAACGAGATAACCCCAAAGGATCAATTAACGAGCGAAGCAGATCAGAAGAACTGTGCCATCGACACGAGCACAACACGCACTACGAGAAAATGCAGCAGCATAGCATATCTCTCCTCGTCTGAACGCCGTAAGTGGCCAATTCCCGCTGCAACAGCCTGATACCATGAACATCCGTGAGCGAAATGCACGAGTGCCTGGTTTCACAACTTCGCCTCCCGCTGCAACAGCTCGGCCAGTTCGGTACGGGTTCCATGCACGTGGATAGGTATGTTTCTGCCGTCAATGCACCCGCGACCTAGTACTCTTCTGCGAATACCGCGGGAGGGACATTGAGGCAGAATCGACGGCTTGTTTGGTCTTTGTGCCTAGGGAGTGTTATCGTATGACCGAGGCCACTGCAGATGGAAATGCTGGGTGCAAGGTCGCTGCAATTGACAGGTCAGGTGAGCTCGACATTTTTTACAGACCCTTGAAGTGCTTACTCTGCGATGGACTTTACAGCTCTAACGTGCTCTTAGTGTCCTTACGCGCCGCGGGCGCTCATAGCAGGTTCTCCTGGCTCAGGCAGCTGCGCTAGGTACAGAATGCACGCGCGTTCGTAACATGAATGATTCGACATGTTGCCACGTCCTGTCTTCTCCATTGCAGACGATTCGTCGTCATACAGTCGCTCGTTGTCAGTTCAGCCTTGCTCTGACCGTGATTTACCAAGAGGCTCCCTGACCAGCAGCTCGAGGAATCGGCCACTTTATTGACTAGCACTGCCTGGACTCTCAGCGTGTGAGATAGCTGTCCTTGTCTGCAGATGCTTCTGGTGTTGGGCGCCCGAACGGCCAGGCGTTTGCCAAATGCATCTTGCGTACCCACGTGGGTGCGTCCCGCGAAGATTGTGGTCCTGCTATGCGAGTAGCATACAGGTAGTGTGGCCTCAGCGGCAATGACGGGCAGGCAACCTCATGACCGGACTCGTGGTGTTCGTGACAGTGCAGCGATGCGTTCCAATTGATGAAGCATCGGTAAGGTTTACGGTATGTGAGCTGATCCGACATCATGTTCTGGCCTTCTAGGCGGGCGCTGCATGTGGGAGATAACATGAACTTTCCGGATGTGTATGCTGCTGCAAGGCACGTTGAACGCTAAAACTGCATGCTGTGATGCGCGTGAGCCCTAAGGATGCACTGAAAAGGATGCACATACCGTCTCGGAGAAAATGGGATGACTGCGCTGTGCTTGCCGCGCCTCGTGGTTTGTCGCGTTGCATACAGGTATGTGTGCGGTGTATGAAATCCTAGAAGACACGGAAGCACGTTGCCATGCGATAAGATAGATACATATACCTCGAAAGCTGGCCTGGAAACTCATATCTGCAACCATCTGCCACCAGTCCACACTAACACTATGGCATCCTCCGAACGGTACCTAACACACGTCACGAAAGCTTCAGAGGACAATGTGCTCAAGGAAGAAAGGCTTGAGCCAGCAGTGAGTGGGAAAGCACCGTGTACGCGTTCTCTACCGTTTGAACGTTTACGTGCCGTGCTGCGTTAGGTCAAGGGCAAGGCGGGCGAGCTTGTCTCGTCCGACGAGGTGGAATCCGAGGACAAACGCGATGCGGAATGGAGACCTCTGCCGCGGCTTCCGATCGAGGTGTGGGAGAACGCGATCAACCATCTGTGGTACGACAAGCGTACTTTGAGGAACTGCATCCGCACCTGCCGAGCATGGTACCCTCCGAGTCACTTCCACTTGGTCGGTTTCATCCAGGTCTCGACTGTCACGGCAGTAATGGCATGTGCGAAGAAGCTGAAGCAGACGCCCGAGCTGTCGAAGCGGCCGCACAACATGCACATAGGGGGCGATTTCCCATATCATTTCCCGACGCACATCGACTTCTCAGTACTGTCTCTAGCGGCGATCGTGCTCGCTCCCAAGCTGCTTCGGCTGAAGCGGCTCACAATCCGGCGTGCAGAGTGGCAGCCGTGGAGGATGCACAAAGACGTCTGCCTGCATCTCTCCGCCTTCTCCGTCACTCGCCTCGTTCTCGATGATGTCGCATTCCCTTCGGTCAATGTCTTTGGGCACCTCGTCTGTGCCCTGCCGCACCTGGCCGATCTCCAATGCAGCGATCTGAAGTTCACGCATTACCACTTCCACCGCGATACGTTTGATTTATATCGCAATCGCGTCAAGATCAGGTCCTTGGAGCTCGATCATCCGCCACTGGAATCTGAGAAACTCATAGTAGACTTCCTTGCTCATCCTTGCATTTCGAGTCACTTGCAAACATGCATTATCAATACTAAACGTTCCGATCATCTACAACAATACAACGTGGGAGTCCAGCGATTGTTGAATGCTGCATCTGAATCACTCTTGTTACTGCAATTCCAAATTGAACGTGTTTGCTCAGAACGACAGACAGATACAGAGGTGTCTGCTGCAGGTATGCATTCTAGTTTCACGTAAGCATTCCTGCTAATCAGAGTCTCTCCAGATTCGGTTCTATCACTCACTCACAATATTTCGCTGCAGGAACTGTGGCTATACGTCGACAGCATCCCTCAAGATTCCGACCTGGACAGCTTGCGTCAAGCCTTACTTTCCGTCAAGTCAGGCCAGCTTCGAGAAATCGTGATAGTGTTTCGTTCGTATCTGAGCAAATATGTAATCATGGAGGGAGTGAAGAACGCGTTCAAAAATCACGAGTCTGCTCACTGTGAAGAGATTGACGATTATCTTTCATCCAATCCATTCAGGACACTGAGCAAAGTGGAATGTAGACTTTCTCCTCGTTTTCCTCATTTCAAACACGAGGAAATTTTTACAGCGGTCGAGGAGCAGTGGAAGCAGAACCTTGCGCCGTTATTCCCACGACTGACAGAGCGAGGTATCTTCTGGTGGGTATCCCACATTTTACGCCTGGACTCACGCATTGATCTGCATCGCGATATTGGAACTGCAGCGCCACAGTGATGGAGTGGGGGTATGATGACATTCATCGATCATAGTGATCGTTGTATCTCCAGCAGACGCTTCGTGCATTCGTGGCCTTGTCTCCACTCTGGCAATGATGAAGAACATGCTCAAGTGGCCCGCGAAAATGTCTATCTTCGTCTCTCTGGCTCCCTCGAAGTGTACACCGCGATCTCTTCCATAATCCCCTGCTCCATATACATCACATGCTACTACTAGCATAACATATCTACAAATTCCTGCATCCGGCTCCCCGCGTACCGCCGTTGCCATTCCGGAACTCAGACATACATCATCTCCATCTCGTCTGCGCCTCCCTATGCTCCACCAACGATCGCTCATGCACCGACCGCTACACTCCCGTTCATACACTTTCGAGTACGCGCTACCCGCTGGAAGCAACCCCACAAGGTCTCGGTAGCGGCCAGGCGATTCTGTTCGGATTCTTCAAAGGTCGTCTATCCGGCCATTTTGTCGTCTTCACGGCGATGCCAGCAAATCTTATTCTACGGGGCTGATTTGGAAGTCGCAGCGGCCCTTGACTTGGATGAGTGATCTCAGACGGATACGGCGGACTTATCGGATGCACCTCGAGACTCCTGAAGGCGAAGCGATCTAATATTTCATTTCATGCCATGGTGCACGTTCCCGTACTCACATCTGCACGACGTCCACAATCTCTACAAACGACGCCAAAATGCCATATCACGCGACGGACCGTGGCGACACGACAAGATCGAGCAATACTAGATCCACCGCAATCTCACTCTAGCCAGCGGACGTTCAAAGGAGCCCTCACGCTCTCCTCCCCTGCTAGATCAGCGCACAATAATCTCGATCCTCGTCTGCCACTCATCGTCGAACTCGAATGGATCGCCCCCAATCAATGCACACAGCACGACTACCAGCGCCAGCTATCCAATCAGCGCAGCATTCAATTGACGATGTGCACTTGCTCACCTCGATCATCGCGAGCAGGAACCCACGCCCAAGACATATGCGTGATCCACCGATTTGCATGAACGTCAGCGCACGCCAACGGCCCTAGCTTTCCTACGCACGCAGCGGGTTCCGCTCTTCTCGATCCAGTGCTCCAGTTGGAACTCGTTCACATCGTATCCTCCACAGCGCACGGGATGCATTCGTGAAATCGACAGGAATGGCGTCGGTCCGGCCAGCACAGACGAAGACGATATCGATGCACGGATACCGGAGTGCCGCTCGCACACAAGATGGAGAGCGGCATGAGGGCGTCTTCGATGGGCTACTGAGCACTTTGTGAATGTGAGGGATGGAGTCGCGCGAACATAGGAAGCAGGGTTTAACGGCGGGTCTGGGTGCGCTCGACGACTTTAGGATGCAATCACAGCATCTATTGTACGAAACGCTCACGTAACTTTCGCTGGATGCAGGCTGCTTGCAAAGCTCGTGGATCTCGATGAGCCACCGCTGCGCATCTCGTGAAATTGATGCCCGGATAGCGGGAGATTTGGACTGGAAGTGTTGATGGAACGACTGGGACAGGTGGATATTGTGTGTGCCGTGGATGAATCGGAATTGTTTCGGCTCATTGGATATTGTCGCATTTTTAGAGCCTTTATTACTGATAGGGCGAGGCTGTTCTTGTCCCACGGCTTGTATGTACTACAGGGATCAGAAACAGACTTGCGAGGTTACAGTCTCCTTCAGATAGTCGGAGAGAGGGTCTGTTGCGCCTTGACTTGATTATGCAATATATCCGGGCCTGTTTATCGTCACTTGCATCACCCCAAGTCAGGATGCGCACGCACCAACCGAACAATGCTCTGATTCCCTGTCATGCCCTCGAGTCTCCCTGAACTTTCCAACAACCCGTTCGCGACATACTTGGCCTTCTAATGCATTCGGAGAGGTAGAAAAGCGATGACGGTTGCCGTCACGAGGATTGAGGAATCAGGTCGTAGAATTTTCTTTCTTTACGTTGACCTCGATCTGGGCGCCGATGAATGCATCGAAGCACTCGGCAATGAAGAAACACATATTTTGCAGGATGCCATAGTCGTGCAGGAAAGCTGCGATGCCGAGCGTGTCCAGCTTGGTGGAGTTCTAAGGTCCAACATGAATACACAGCAGATGACGTGACTCACCGGAGGACATTCGCGGCCTCGAAGGTCGCGGGATACGGTATTTCCTACAGGAAGAAATTGCCCTGAGAATCCTCATCAGCATTCAACGAATGTGAGCGTGCGCACCAAGTTTGCACTTCAATAATTGCCGGGTCGCCAGATTGAAAGTCGATCATGCCGCCCCGCGTAGCTTACACCCATCTGGGCATATGCGAGTCACCTCGAGCTTGCAATGATACTGGGGCCAGCCTGTCAATTTCGCAGGATGGCTAGCGCACTGATGTCGGTGGTCGCAATCGACCACCGATGATACCTGAAAGAGCCATATTTTAGGCACCGACCAACTTGATCGATCGAACTGGGATGAAATGGAATGACGCACACATACACCCACTGCTTGTACAAGAGGCTTCGATCGAGAAAGCTGTATGTCTGCAGGAGGACAATCGTGTTGAGAAGATCGGCGAGTGGTGTGGAGCATGTGACGCTGGGTGTCGGCTGTAAGGCCGTATATGGCATCTTTATTTCCATATGTAGCAATATTACCTTGCGACTGCAAGGTTTCTCCCGGGGCACAATTGTGACGCGATTTCGGTACAGTCTTCAACCGGTCCTTTGTACGCTCAATTTTTTCGAAATTCCTGTACAAGGAATTTTCACTTTCACCTCAAACAAAGTATATAGATTTATCAAGCACATCCACGAGCATATTGTAAGAATGTTTCAGAGCAGAGGAATGAGAACTGTGGTGTACAAAAATAAAAGAAGGCAATATGGTCAAAATGCGCATCTCCGACTCCTCTATACACTTGTCACGCATAGTCACGCTCTCGCCACAGTGCTTGGAACTCAGCGCTCAGCCTCAGAATCCATTGCGCTCGACCCATCTGCATCTCTCTCATTGTCGCTGGCATCGTTGTCGTCAATTTTCGCCATCTTTGGCTTGAGAGCGGCTTTTCTCAAGTGGTCCACGAAACGGTCTTAAGGACCTGTCACACGTGACGTCACGTGACAGCACTCGCAGGGCCCCTCCTCTCCAGGGATAAATCGCCTCCTGTGGTCGATACACACACGCTATCAGCTCATTTGGGTGCAGACATCATGCCTCTTGACTATAGATATATTTGGCATGTTGATCTTTCAGAATCTCTCTTGCTGCATGCTATGAGAGCCAAAATAAAATTTCATAAAAAAGCCTTGAACAGAAAAAATGCCATATTGCAAAAGAACAGGCATACCACCTGCATCTTGTCTTATGGACCATGAATCCTCTAACCAGTAGCTACATAATATATTTTTTACTGAGCAATTTGACCTGGAAATGAATGAGGAAAGTGCTTCTGTATAAAGGACTGGTAGTGTATAAAGGACCGGTTGAAGACTGTACAGGCAAAGTTGGCCTTGTTTACATCCTTCCATGACATTCCATTGATTACCATTTCCGTCTCTTGCCTGAGTTTCTATCCTTCCACGACATTCTATCACATGCGTCACTTTCTTGCGTCCGACGTCATTCGTATACAGCTGTGTACCTTCTCCTACGTTCGTTATATGTAGCCGCACATATCTTCTACTTACTGATTTCTTTCGTATAGTTTGATATTTGTGATTGTCTGGGAAAATGCCAACATATATCATATACTGCACGCGTTCCTGCGTTACAAGTTCTCTGTCTCATTCCTGAGCATTTTTCACCACGCCGTCGTCTCTAGTGATCCTTCGCCGCTAGTCATTCCTCTTCGATTATCAATTGCTCGTCGTGAGGCTGATGGAACATGTCCTCCCCACATTCTTGTTCACCCTCTCAAAGCCCGCGCCATATTCGTATTCTCGTTTAATACTGTACCAATGTATGTAACTCTATCTGTAATGTGTAACTGAACGTAACCCCTTTCAATAATCAAATTCTATTCACTCTTCACGTTCCTGATATCTCTCGCAGTGGTTCCAATTACAGCGCGCACGATATACTGCCTCCTTTTCTTCTCCTTATACACACTGTTCAGGTTGTCGATTTCGCTCACCGTAGTTGTGATTGTAGCGGATCGTCACCTACAGTCGCAAGGTGCGCTGCCGGCGACGGCCGGCGCTTCTCGAGTGAAATTATATTCAGCATTTCCTCTTCACTGCTTGTTCTGTCGGACGTCGCTCTCTGTGTCACTAGAGGCCCACTAACCTCGAATTCCGCCTTCGCTTTTCACGAATACTCGCTCTGCTCGTCCCGGGCTGCAAACTCCGTGCTGGAATTGCTGGTGTCACTCCGCTGAGATTCGCCCTGATTCGCCTTCGCCTTCACCGCCTGGCATTTCTGCCATGGAAGTTCCATCCTACCTATTCGCCACTACAAAGTTCTACTCCGGCTGCACTCACACCGGATGGCCGCCTCACACAGCAAGCACGAGCGTACACCGTGCGTTGGCAACCTGTGTAGTTCTGCCCTTGGCTCTCCCTTTCTCACCCCGCTCGGCCTCTGGTTCTTCCATTATTAGCACGGCTCTCGAGTGCGCACACTTGAAGACGATTGATGGCGCGTTGCTGCCGTGCCCTGCGAGCTCACCGTCACATCCCCACCTTCACTCTCGCCCAGCTTCCGCACGGATACCTACTCTGTCATTAGCCGGAGCGCTGGCGCATTCACGTCTGCTTGCGCCACGGATCGACGGCGATACCACTGCACGCTGCATGCAAACTGCTCGGCGCATGTGCTGGATACTACCGCTCGTATACAAGCGAATATCTCTCGAATAAAAATGGCCCATCACGCCCTACGTTCACAAAGGCGTCGCAACGCCTGGCTCTTAGCATAGTTGTTACATCGCGAACACTGACGCTTTCAGGGAAGGCTCGCCTGTCAGGAAGGGGTAGCGTCAGCCAGTATCGGTGTCATGCGACGTGCGCGTCGCGACGGAGGAAGATGATGGGTACGGAGAAGGGAGTGCATGGATTACACTCAGCGTGCTTTCCCTGGGCGGTGAGGAGGGTGAACTGATCGATGGCGAGGCGTACTTCGCAAAGACCGCTGGGACTGGTGAGTCTATCCTTGTAATCCACCTACCGGCCTCGTTTCTACCGCCCTCTCCATACATTCGATGCTAGCTGAGTCGGCTTCCGAGAACCTTGCTCACGATCGCGCTTCTCTGCGCTAATTCTCTCCGCGTTGCGCAGATGTCCCGAGTAATAGGACACCTCCTTCTCGAATTCGCGCTTCACGACTCTTCTTCCTCGATCTGCCGCCCTTGCTCACGGCCCTTCGAGTATCGAGGTGCTTCGCAACTGCGTTCTTCACCATGGGGCCCCGCTGCATCACACTTACAGGTCATGGGACCGTCTGTGCCGCGACAATGCAGTATGGCGCGCTTCTCGAGCAGCGCCAGTCGGGATGGGTTAGACCTACGCCACGAGGTCAAGCCGCTTGACTCTGATCCGCCGCCATCACTGTCCGCATCGAGGATACTAGTGTCAGCACTGTTCAGGGTGAACTGGTTCAAGACACCAAGGCCGTGCATGGAGATGTTTCGGGGATGGGTGCAGATGCTGCCGGCGAGTGTGGGCGTGCATGTGGAGGAGTACCAGGGTCGCTCGTGGAAGTTGAAGGCGAACAGACATGATGACAGGTGCGCTAGGTCCCGCAGGCGGAGGCCTCAGGCTTGAGGCTTCGACCCTTCGCCTTTGGTATTGTGCTAGTGTGGCTCACACTGATCTGTTTCTGCACACTCGCGCAGGCTCATCCTGGAAAATACAGAACGGCTTCATCGGGGAACCACCGACATCAGCAACCGTGTTTGACACCTCGAAGACACAATCGCCATCCTCTAGTCCGGTATCGCACGAGAGCAGCACTCCTTCATTCGGCGGCGAACATGTGGCGGAGGGATGGGACGGAGACGAAGGGCGGGGAGGACGCGCAGCAGGACGAGGGAGAGGAATTGCAGTACGTTCATGCGTTCCGCATGCTCATCGTCTGCGATTATGATGCTGCGACGTTCTACGGGCGGTCGGCGGGCTGGGAGGTGCACTTTTTGTCCCTTCAGGTAACGATTGTGCTAATTGACAGTTCACGTAGATTATTTTTTGGTGCGTGCTTCCATATCCATGGATGCATTCTTCAATTTAGATATGCACATCCCATACAGGACGAGAAGCATGTACCGATAGTTCCTCGACTGCCGACGACAAACGCGACGCATTGCCTGACTCGATCACGCAAGTGGCGACGTCATTCCCCTGCGCGCCGGCCGACGAAGAAGGTGAGGACCTCGACGGGCTCATTTACGAGTACCTCCCGCGGTGGGCGCGCCCCGCGGCGCTCTGCAACTTTATCTCGTCAGGCGCCTAAGTTCTTCGGCGCGTTCACTCGCCGGCAAATCGTCGAGGACTTTCTCGCGCTATTCTACGAAGAGGCCGCGCGACTACGCGATGCGGGCGAGAACATCGACGATGCACTCACGACGTCCTCCGAGGCGTTCAACCTTCTCAAGGCAGCGCCGGCTTCGAGCTCGTCGCGCTACTGTTTGTGATGTTCGGCTTTGGGGCGCTGACAGATGGCGAGCTTCCTGCGCCGCCGCGTAACGTTGAGTCGGTGCTGAAACGTCCGCCCAGCCTGGCGACGGTACAGAGCTGAGTTTGATGGCTGTCTACCGTCAGGTATGACGGGCGATCATGATAATGCCGTGTAGAACGTCCTTTGTTGATGCCGTGCATAGCGTTTGTAGGCGGACGAAATCAGCGTAAAAATCATCTGGGCACTCATGGGCCTCAGTTCGAAATTAGCGCAAGGCGTGTGTACTCGGCTCACCGCTTCTGCTTCTTCAGTGTATCGTTGACCCGCGTCACCCTCTGCAGATCGAAGTCCGTGAGCAGATCCTTCGTGGTCTGAGACATGCGAATCGATGCATTTCTCACATTCACTTTATCCAGTCCTGCGTTTGTTGTGTGCCTGCAGATCGCGACTGAGCGCATCGAAAGCTCCCCCTGCCGAGGTGCGGAGGCGGCGTGCACTCTTTTGGGAGCTGTTCATCACGGACCGCTGGCAGGTAAGTTGCACTAGGGGAGTGCAAATAATATCATATATTGACCAAATCCATCACTAGGCTCTCGCCACTGGTCGACCTCCAACACCTTCATTACGCTTCGTCAACGCCGAGCTTCCAGCTGACTTAAATGAAACAATGGCCGACGACGGTACTCCCCAGTCAAGCTGTACGTGCCTGATCTCCTCCTGTTCACATCTCCGCTCATCGCGAATGCGCTGTCTCCAGTTCCCTGATGGAAAATTCAGCATTGATCCGACCGTGATTCATCAGGAGCTTCTTTTGCCGGAATGCAAGACCGCACACATGAATCATCACAATCTGCAACTCGAGCATACAGCTCAAAGTTCCCTGGCCGGTGGCTTCAGAAAGCGGTCGCTTTGTGTACTAGCTTTGCCTGGACGTTAGGCGCGCAAGATGGCTGTTCTTGTCATTAGACGCTTCTGGCGTTACGGATGCGGTACGAACGCGGTGCGTTGGAATTGACGGGGCGCAGCTCCTAGGTATTCGTGCACCCAAACGGCCACGCGTTTCCAACCTGCATTTTGCGGACCCGCGTGCGAGCGTCCTGCGTAGGCTGTGGTGCTGCTGTAAAGTGTCACATACAAGTAGTACAGCCTCAGCGGCAATTACGGACAGGCAACCTCATGACCGCACTCGTGATGCCCGCGCCACTGGGGCGATGTGGTCGCCTTGATGAAGCACAGGTAAATTACGGTGTGTGTGGTCTGATAGTATCAATCCGATACCATATTCTGACAATGCAGCAATGTACGCCCCCCCTGAAGCCACTCAGTCATCCCCTTTTCCCTTCCTCCGTCCTTTGGCAGTGCGCAGAGCCTCAATGTTCATTGAGGCGCAGCATGTCGACAATGCTATGTAGAACGGTGGTCGTTCTGTTTTCAGAGTCGTCGCGGATACCTCTGGGCTGTGCGTTATCGACAAATGGGCAGTGGGTGTACAGCGCCGGCGGAAAATGCCCCGATAGACTGGTTGTGAGGGTCTGAACATGGCTATGCAGCAGTTGCATTGATCGCGGTTATTCGGGCGGTGCATGGATTCCTAGAAGGCACTGCACATGGAAGCACGTTGCAGCGCGATGATATGAATACATATATTGCGAGAGCGGATCTAGAAACTTACATCTGCGACCATCCTCTACCATAGTATCTCCTCAGACGCCATGGAAGTCATCAAACGGAAGCTGGAACGTTTCGGGGACAGGATGAAAAAATGGAGAATCAACTTACAACGGCTGACACGAATCGTGAGTGGGCAAACTCCGTGTATACGTTTTTGACCATTTACGTGCTGCGCTACGTTAGGTCAAGGGCAAGGGTAAGGCGGGCCCGGTCGCCACAAGAACTCTGCCGCAGCTCCCGATCGAGGTTTGGGAGAACGTGATTGACCATCTGTGGGACGACCGGGACGCTTTGAAGGCGTGCATTTTCGTCTGCCGAGCATGGTACTCTCCCAGTCGTTTTCACTTGCACAGACAGATCGAGATCCAGAGTGTGAAGGGTGTGAAGGCCTATGTGAAGGAGCTGAAGCAGACGCCGGAGCTGTCGAAGCGGGCGCACAATATGACCATAGACGGCATTTGGGGGTCAGATCTGTCATCACTGTCGACGGCGGCGATCCTGCTCGCTCGCAAGCTGCCTCGGCTGGAGCGGCTCACAATCCGGCGTTCAGAGTGGCGGCCGTGGACGATGCACAAAGACATCTTCCTTCATCTCTCCGCCTTCTCCGTCACTCGCCTCGTTCTCTATGATGTCACATTTCCGTCGGTCACTGTCTTTGGGCGGCTCATCTGTGCCTTGCCGTGCCTGGTTGAGCTCAAATGCACCCATCTGATATTCACGCATGATCACTTCCACCGCGATGCATTTGGTTTATATTGCAATCGGGTCAAGATTTGCTCCTTGTCAATCATGCTGAAACACACAGCTGTTCCCGATAGCCTCATCGACTTCCTCGCTAATATTTGCATCTCGAGTCACTTGCAAAGATGCATTATCCGTCATGATCCTTCCAGTGAATATTCACCGTACAAAGGCGAACTTCAACGATTGTTGAATGCTTCTCTTGGATCACTCTCAGAACTGCAATTCGATCTTGAGCTTGCGCGCTCAGAACGACAGACAGATACGGAGATGTCTGCTGCAGGTGTGCATTCTGGTTTTGCATAAGCATTTCTGCTAATCAGAGTCTTCCCAGATTCGGTTTTATCCCTCAATCACAATATTTCGCTGCAGAGGCTGTGGCTATGCATCTGGAGAATCCCTCAATGTTCTGACCTGGACAGCTTGTGTCAAGCCTTACTTTCAATCAAGTCAGGCCAGCTTCGAGAGGTTGTGATAGCGTTTATTTACCCTTATCGCGTACCTCGTTTCATGGAGGCAGTGAAGAACGTGCTCAAAATTCACGAATCGGCTTACCACCAGAACATGGACAAGTATCTTTCATCCGATCCGTTCAGGACACTGAGCAAAGTAGAATTTGTGCTTGTAGCTCTTGATGTTTTTAGCAAAGATCTCGAAGAAATAGCAGTTACAGCGGCCGAGGAGCAGTGGAAGCAAATCTTTGCACCGCTGTTCCCACGATTGACCAAGCGAGGTATCTTCCAGTGAGTATTACACATTTTACGCGTAGACTCACGAATTGATTTGCATCGCGATATTGGAATTGCAGCGCCACAGTGAGGGAACATGGATATAAAGACACTTTTTGATCATCGCGGCCATTGTATCTCCAGCAGACGCTTCCCGCGTTCGCGGTCTTGTCTTCACTCTGGCAACAATTAACGGCATGCACAAGTGGTCTGCGGAAATTTCTACCCTCGTCTCTCCGGCTCCTCGAGTTGTCGTACGGCCCTGCAGTTTCATGGCCATACACACCGCGGTCTCTTACACAATCCCCTGCTCCACATACATTGTGCTCTGCTACATGACATCTCTGCGAATTCCTGCATCCGGCTCACCACATACCGCCATTGCCATTCCGACGCTCAGACATCTCCTTCCTTCATCTCGTCTCCGCCTCCCTATGCTCCACCAACGATCGCTCATGCACCAACCGCTACACTCCCCTTTCATACACTCTCAAGTACGCGCTGCCCGCCGGAATGAATCCACAAGGTCTCGGTAGCAGCCAAGCGATCCTGGTCGGAATTCTGCAAAGGTCGTCTGTCCGTCCGTTCCGTCATCTTCACGGCGATGCCGGTGACGCTTACTCTACGGGGCTAGTTCGGAGAGCCGCAGTGATGCTTGACTTAGACGAGTGATCTTAGACGAACGCAGCGGACCTGTCGGATGCACCTCGAGACTCCTGAAGGCGAAGCGAGCTAATATTTCATTTCATGCCATGGTGCACATTCCCGTACTCATATCTGCACGACGCCCACAATCTCTACAAACGACGCCAAAATGCCATATCACACGACAGACCATGGCGACATGACAAGATCAGGTAATAATAGATCCACAGCAATTTCACTTTAACCGGAGGGTGCTCAAAGGAGCCCTCGCACTCTCCGCCCCCTGGGACCCACACAGTTGCTAGATCAGCACAGAATGAGCCCGATCTTCGTCTGCCGCTCATCGTCAAACTCGAATGGATCGCCTCCAATCAACACGCACAGCGCGACTACCAGTGCCAGCTATCCAATCAGCAGAGCCGTCAATCGACGACGCGCATTTGCTTACCTCGATCATCGCGAGCACGAATTCATGCCCAAGACATAGGCGTGATCCACAGATGTACACAAATGTCGGGGCGCGCTAGCAGCCCTAGATCTCCTTCACATGCAGCGGGAACTATCCTCGATCTAGTGCTCTGGCTGTAACCTCCTCACGTCGGAGCCTCCTCAGCGCACGGGACGCGTTCGTGAAATGGATAGAGATGGCGTCGATCTGGCTGGCACAGACGAAGATGGTATCGTCGCACGGATACGAAGCGCCGCTCCCATAGAAGATGGAGAGTGGCATGACGGCGTCTTCGAAAGCCCATCGAGCACTGTGAATGTGAGGGGCGGAGTTGCACGAGCAGCAGAAGCGGAAGCGGGGTACGACGGCGGGCCACAGCATGTCCGACGACCTTGGAATGCAATCGCAGCATCAATTGGAAGACTGCGTCGAGGTACCCGAGCGCGTGTGCTAGCTGTTCCCGTGTCGAATCGGTGCCTCATCAAGTGTACGAACCGCTCACGTAGCTTGCGCTGGACGCCAGGCTGCTCGCGAAACTCGTCTATCTCGCTGAAGCACTACTGCATATCTCGTGAATTTGACGCCAGGGCAGTGGGAGGTTTGGATGGGAGGTGTTGCTGGAATACTCGATCAGTGGGGGGTTGGAAGTCTCGTGGATGGATCGGAGTTGTGTGGGCTCAACGGACGCTGTCGCATATCTGGCACGTTTCATGGCTTTATCTACTGACAGCGTGAGGTTATCATCGTTCTACAAGTTGTATCTACTACAGGAATCAGAAACGGACTTACGAGGTTATAGTTTCCTTCAGATAGTCGCAGAGAGGACTGGATTTGTTGCTCCTTGACTCAACCATGCAATATACACCAGGCCCGTTTATCGTCGCTTGCATCAGTCCAAGTCGGAAACCGCACGCACCAATTCAGAATACTCCGACTCTCCATCATGCCCTCGACTATCTCTGCTCTCCTCGAACCTCTCCAGTGAACCGTCCACGATTTGCGTGGTCTTTTCATCCAGCCTTCGAGGAGCGGTGAGGGCGCTCCATGAGGATTGAGGAGGCGGGTCCTAGATTTCTCTTTTTTGAACGCTATCGTCAGCCTGAGTGCCCATGAATGCATGGAAGTACTCGGAGATGGAGAATCACTTACTCTGCAGGTGCCGTAGTCGTTCAAAAAGCCTGCGATGCCGAGCAGATTTATCTTGGTCGGGCTGTAGAGTCCAACACGAATACAGCGCAGATAAGGCGACGCGACGGAAGAGGTTTGCAGCCTCGAAAGCCACGGGGTACAGCCCATCCCACAGGGAGATATTGTCGTGAAGGTAGTTGGCATCCAAATAATGTGGACGTGCGCACCAAGTTTGCGCTTCAATGATGTCTGAGTGGCCAGATTGGGGTGAAACATGCCACTCCTCGTGGCACAGAGCCATCGGCACCGGCTCAGCACAAGATAGTCACTCGGCATATAAACCTAGTACGTGACATCGTTGACGTTGGACCCCGGGGTTTCAGATCGTGGATGAAGACATTGTGAAATGGCGAGGCGAGTGCTTTCCGTGCCCGGGATGAGCAACGGCCGGGGACAAATTAACAAGATAACGTCGAGTCGTCTTGCTCATACAAGAGCCGCGATACGCGAATCCCCTTGAGTTTTCATGATGCCGAGGACATCACGACAGTTTCTCCGGTTGCATGGTGGCTAGCACATCGGTGAGTTGAATCGATCATGACCGACGAGTCGACGACGGCTCATCGTAAAGACCAACTCGATCGATCGACTTGAGATGGCCATGCAGAATGACACACATGGAACTCGCCACGATCGACATGCTGGAATGCCCACCACTTGTACAAGAGGCTCGGGTCAAGCAAGGTGTACGTCTGTAGAAGCCAGGACGACAGTCGTGTAGAGATAGTCGGCGAGAGGTACGGAGCGTGTCCGATGGTTAAGGCCATATATGGTAGCTTTATTTCCATATGTAGCAATACTTAATTATATTCAGGTTCTCCTCACAATCATGTTTAAAATATTCTCATGAACAAAACAAGCTGTGCACCCTGTGATTGATCGATCGATCCGCCAGCTGCATCTCAATCAGCCGAAGCTCGGCTTTCCGGCTTAATGTCTTTAATTTCTCGTGACCTTTCCGGCGCTTTCTGGGTGACTTTTCCATGGAAAAGCATAAAATAAGCACGAAACCAGGAGATCCCCACGCTTTTCGGGCTTAATGCCTTTTTTCGACCAAAAAAAGCTCTAAAGGGGGCTAAAAAGCAATATTTGAGTTTTCCTGATGCCATGCGGTGATGTGCGGACGATGGATTCCCTGAAGACACTGCATACGGAAGCACGTTGCAATGCGATGAGACAGATACATATATCTCGAAAGCTAACCTGGAAAATCACACGCCCGCGACCATCTGACTCGACTAGACACCAACACTATGGCATCCTCTGAACAAGACCTGAAACGCGTCACGAAAGCTACAGGAGACAAGGTGCCTATGAGGGGCGCCAGCGGACAAAATTATGTGAGCTTAAGATTTGGACTATTTTGATTAGAATCGGCTCGTTTGTGCTTTCGCGTTGTGGCGTACGCTTTGGCACCTGATGTAAGCGGCTTGCGCTTACAGTTAAGACTTGTGTTTATGACGCGCGTTTGTGCTCAGGCTGCGCCACCAAATATATTCCTTCATTTCCTCTCACCTCCGTGCCTACAAGTGCCCAGGTGTTCACTGCGCAGAGCCCACCTCCTCGATTCCTCTCTCAGTACTTCCCCTCTACCAGCCCAAAATGACATGATAGACCAGGCAGCAGAATGACAGTGGCGGTGGAACATGCACATCAAGGACACTGTGCGTGGTTGAGATCTGGATGTTCTGTAAAATAGAATGGTCTGATGGGATTCTGCTGGCCGCTAGTGTAGTTACACATCCTCCTGAACAATACAGGCATGTTCGCAGTGTCTGCCTCTCCTGCAGCATCCGTGAATGGCCCGGATCCAATGTCGGTCTCTCTCATAGTGCTGGGTGGTGATGCCTCAAAGATGCAGCATCGAGAAACCCCAGGTCATGCACTGTACATGGCTCAGAAACATGAGACAGGGCCGCTTTTGCTCTGCCAGTTGAGCGGCATCACCCGTTTGCGTGTGAAGGGTGCTCTAGCAGGATACATGGCCGACGGAATGGCTCGGAATGGAGATAGTGGTGCAAGCGCGCCTGCGTGACTCATGTGACAGATCGGAACATGCCGAAATGCGTCGTGTCAATCAAAGCATAAGCATAATCAACGACCATAGGCGAATAATCCTTTTTGAGGTGCATATATACACAGAAACGTGCCGAAATCAATGCGCTATCCGATTTTAACACCTAACTAGCTGAGCATAAACCGTCATTCTCGTTATCTCGAGCACAATATACTTTTGTCCGCTCGGGCGCGCCAAAGGTGCCCAAGATACAAAGGCTTGAGCCAACGGTGAGTGGGAAAGCGCCACGCATGCGTTCTTGACGATTTACGTGTTACGCTGTGTTAGGTCAAGGGTAAAGCAGGCAAGACTGGCACATCGGCGATGAGAGCTCTGCCGCAGCTTCCGATCGAGGTGTGGGAGAACGTGATAAATCATCTTTGGGACGACCAGAACACTTTGAAGGAGTGCAGACTCGTCTGCCGAGCGTGGCTCCCTCCGAGTCGCTTCCACTTGCGTAGATGGGTCATGATCAGGACTGTCAACGGTGTCAAGGCCTATGCGAAGGTGCTGAAGCAGACACCCGAGCTGTCGAAGCGGCCGCACAATATGACCATAGAGGGCAGTTTGCGCGGGGTTCTGTCATCACTGTCGATGGCGGCGATCCTGCTCGCTCGCAAGCTGCCCCAGCTGGCGACGCTCACAATCCGGAATTCATACTGGCAGCCATGGACGATGCACAACGACATCTTCCTGCATCTCTCCACCTTCTCCGTCACTCGCCTCGTTGTCTTTAATGTCAGATTCCCGTCGATCACCGTCTTTGGGCGCCTCGTCTGCGCCCTGCCATGCCTGGTTGAGCTCGAATGCACCTGTCTGATATTCGAGCATGATCACTTCCACCGCGATGCATTTGGTTTATATCGCAATCGCATCAAGATCAGGTCCTTGTCAATCACACTGAAACACACAGCTGTTCCTGAGAGCCTCATCGACTTCCTTGCTAATATTTGCATCTCGAGTCACTTGCAGAGATACAGTATCCGTCGTACTCTTGCCGGACATAATCCACAACACAAAGGGCAACTTCAGCGATTGTTGAATGCTTCTCCTGGATCACTCTCAGAACTGCAATTCGATCTTGAGATTGCTCGCTCAGAACGACAGACAGATACGGAGATGTCTGCCGCAGGTATGCATTCTGGTTTCACATAAACATTTCTGCTAATCAGAGTCTCTCCAGATTCGGTTCTATCCCTCAGTCACAATGTTTCGCTGCAAAGACTGTGGCTATGCCTCTCAAGCGTCCCTAAAGGTCCTGACCTGGACAGCTTGCTTCAAGCCTTGCTTTCAATCAAGTCAGGCCAGCGTGATAGTGTTTATTTGGCGTTCTAGCATACATGAATTCATGGAGGCAGTGAAGAACGTGCTAAAAAATCACGAGTCTGCTCACTGCGAAGAGATTGACGATTATCTTTCATCCAATCCATTCAGGACACTGAGCAAAGTAGAATGTAGACTTTCGCCTCGTTTTCCTCGTTTCAAACGTGAGGAAATTTTTACAGCGGTCGAGGAGCAGTGGAAGCAGAACCTTGCGCCGTTATTCCCACGACTGACCGAGCGAGGTATCTTCTGGTGGGTATCCCACATTTTACGCCTGGACTCACGCATTGATCTGCATCGCGATATTGGAACTGCAGTGCCACAGTGAGGGAGTGGGGGTATGATCGCGCTTTTCGATCATCATGATCGTTGGATCTCCAGCAGACGCTTCCTGCATTCGTGGCCTTGTCTCCACTCTGGCAATGATGAAGTGCATCCACAAGTGGTCCGCGAAAATTTCCGCCTTCATCTCTCTGGCTCTCCGAAGTGTCGTACGGTCCTGCGGGTTCTTGGCCACAACGCGGTCTCTTCCACAATCACCTGCTCCACATACATTGCGCTCTACAACACATCTCTGCAAATTCTTTCATCCGGCTCGCCACATACCGCCATTTCCATCTAGATACTCAGACATCTACCTTCTCCATCTCGTCTCCGCCCCCCATGCTCCGCCAGCGATCGCTCATACTGCGACCGCTACATTCCCACTGCTACATTCTCTTCTGAAGCATGCGCTATCTGCTGGAATCAACCCACAAGGCCTCCATAGCAGCCAAGCAATCTTGGTCGGAATTCTCCAAGCGACGTCTATCCAGCCGTTTTGTCGTCTTCACGACGATATCGGAGACGCTCACTTTACGGGGTCAGTTTGGAGAGTCACAGTGGCCCTTGGCTTGGGCGAGTGATCCGAGACGGACTCAGCAGACCCATCGGATGCGTCTCTGCCGAGAAACTCCTGAAGGCGAAATGGCCTGATATTTTATCTCCGCCGATTTGCATGAACATCAGCGCGCCAATGGCCCTAGCTTTCCCTCCTCGACCCAGTGCTCCAGTTGGAACTCGTTCACGTTGTATCCTCCACGTCGTACCCTGCACAGCGCACGGGATGCGTTCGTGAAACCGACAGGAATGGCGTCGATCCGGCCAGCACAGACGAAGACGATATCAACGCACGGATACGGAGTGCCGCTCGCACACAAGATGGAGAGCAGCATGACGGCGTCTTCGATGGGCTACTGAGCACTTTGTGAACGTGAGGGATGGAGTCGCGCGAACATAGGAAGCGGGACACATTGGCGTGCCTCGGCGTGTTCGACGACTTTGGGATGCAATCGCAGCACCTGTTGGATCAGAATGACTACGTCAAGCTACGCGAGCGCATGCGCTAGCTATATCCGCGTCGAGTCCATACCTCATCAGGTGTACGAACCGCTCGCGTAGTTTGCGCTGGACGCCAGGCTGCTTGCAGAGTTCAACAAGTTCAATGGGGCACCACTGCACATCTCGTGGGTAAGAATAGCGGGAAGTTTGGACGGAAAGTGCTGCTGGAACGACTGGATCAGGTGGGGGTATTGTGAGTGTCGTGCACGGATTGGGGTTTATGTGTGCTCACTGGATGTTGTCGCATGCTCGGCACATTAAGAATTTTTTTTCACTGATAGCGTGGGGTTGTTATTGTTCCATGGTTCTTCGTATGTAGCACAGGAATCGGAAACGAACTTACGAGGTTATAGTTTCCTTCAAATAGTCGCAGAGAGTATTTGTTGCGCCTTCATTTGATTATGCAATTTACCCGGGCCCGTCTATCATCACTTGCATCAGCTCGTTCAATGAGACTACGCAGTCGCTCGGTGCGTAATGCGGAAAGTATGGTATCGCATACCAGCTCAGGTGAAGTGTCTATGAGCTGCTTCTTCTCCCTGCCGCAACGTCGAGTGAAGATGCCTCCAGATACCGCATCCACGACGATGATCATAAATCATACTACACTGATAATGTCAAGCTCACCGGCGGCGCGTCAACGCCTCGATAATTTGGCAACATTGCAATTGCTTGCAAACTTGATGTGCACTGGCAACAGTTGCATACTATCTCTGACCACGAATGATGTCATTCTCCGAATGCAAGTTGTCCATGCTTTTGTGAAGTTTAAGGACGATAGCTATGATTCTTATGCTGTGTCGCCCGAATCATTACGCCTTCTCACAGTGGTCACCGGCTCATTGTGTTTCAAGCTCAATGTGAAGGCAGCTACGGTCGAAATAGCACTCGAGCATGACGCGTGAAGCTTCGGATGGGTCCTCCGAACGGAGGCAGACGCGGAAACGAGGAAGCCAGAGACGGCCTCCGTGTGGCGTCGGAGATGGTTACCGGATTGCGCGTCGGGGGGTGCAGCACACGCCCTGTTGTTACTTAGTGAGCCGATTCGGCGAGGAAACGAAATCCTAAAATATAACGGCTGGCATTGACAACGGAAAAAGAACAACAGAGAAGAAACATGTACTGTACGATCCTAACATGAAGATGACGCAATATTAGAAAGCCCACGGCCGCACACTTTCAAGAGCGAGCGGCACAAAGGAGGAGGACAAACGCTGACAGCTCTAGCAAGCATATAACCCAAAGATAGAGACCTAACGACCAGAGATGAGGATAGACGTGTGCGCACCGAACCGCGCGTGTATTAAGCATATATATGGTGGGCGGTAGAACGTGCGCCCAGCAAGGTGAGGGGTGATCCTTCAGAGGAAGAGACCTGGCTGCAACTTTGACGTGTTTGTGCAGCTGACCTTGCCCTCCAGGATCAACTCGGCGATGATCCTTCCCGTTCCTGGGGCGTTGCAGATGCCCTACACATCGCAAATCGCATGAGCACGAATGACACGCATCGATCGTTCACAAGGACTCACCCAGCATGTGTGACCGGTCGCGACGATAAAGCCCTTTGCTACCGTAACTGCCTCTCCAACTATAGGACCTCCACCAGAACTGACGACAGGCAAGAAGCATGCCTGCCTTCGATCGACGATCCCCTCCCGCAGCTCCTTCGAAATGCTCGAGACGTGTTGCCGGACACTCTCGCACGCGGCCTGATCAACCTGCACCTCGTCCACTGTGTCCGGTAGCCTCGAGTTGTCGCCCGGTCCACAGCAGTACACCTCATTGTCCGGGCGGGGGTAGATTTCCGGGCTGACGTGCTGCGGCACCCTCGTCCTGCCCGTCAACGGTAGCTGGATTTCCGTAAAGAGCACATACGGCGCGATCTTCACGCCCGACTTGGGGATGATAGTGATGCTGTGCGCGCGGGTGCCGACGATAGGCAGAGAAGGGAGGAGCTTCGGCGCCCACGCGCCCGCCGCGAGCACGACGTGCGTCGCAGGGATGGTATGCGAGCCGGGACGTGCACCGACGCCTGTCTCGACGTACGTAACGCTGCTCACACGCCCCTGGGAATGATCAATCCGGATTGAGTTCACCTTCCCCGTTATGAACCGCAGCCCCTTCTCCTGCGCGAGCTGCAGCATGCTCGTCGTGAACTGATACGGGTGCACCTGGGCCGTCGCGCCCGGCGGCGCCATCGGCGTGTAGGATTGCGTGAGCTCAGGCTTGATCCAGTTTAGGTCTTCTGGGAACCCAGTCTCTGCGAGCTTGCGCCGATTCCAACCCGCGTCGAGTCCGTTCGTCTTCTCGAGGTTCCGCCGCTCTCCACCCTTCCCTACGCCCGACCCCGTTCCATCCTTGAGTGATTCTCCCCGTCCTTCCCAGCTCCCGCACCCGACAAACCGGAAACCCCAGCGCTCTGCGCCGTTGTGCTCCTTGGCGAGGCGGACGTGCTCCGGGAACGAGATACTCACGAGCTCCTTCGGGTAGGCCCACTTCGCGACCAGTCCGCCTGCCTTTCCCGATGCGCCCTTCGCGACGCCGCTCGCTGAGGCCTCTATCAACGTGATCTTCGCGCCTGACGAGGCAAAGAGGGGGTGGGAACAAATGTAGTATGCTGCTGTGCAGCCGATGATACCGCCGCCGATGATCACGATGTTCTTTTCACTTGCATCGTCAGACATGTCGAGTGAGACGATTATCAGTATGAGAGCAGCCCAGAAGTCGAGTCCTTTGCCGTGGTTGGTCGTGCAGAGAAGACAAAACAGAGACAAGAGGAGTCGGGCGGGCTGATGCAGTGCGATAGTCTGGATCTTGAGGAATTTGTAGTAGTGCACATGACATCTGAGAGCGAGTTCTGTTTTAGAAGTGACGGGCGCTTCAGGTTGCCCACTTGGTTCCGCCGAATTCATCGTCTGATGTTCGTCCGATAGCGGACTGCTTCCAAGACACTTGTTCATGGATCGGCGCGAGACCTGACGCTTGCAAAACAGGGAAGCGATGGCACTGAATGATCCGAATGAACAGATTGCGCTGACACGTAAAGTTCCACCGGAGTCCAAGTCCGAGCATTCCAGCGAAGTGTATCCGCCTTGGGTAAATTGGGGAAAGCTCGCAGCAATATACTTGGCTCGTGGTCATCTCCGTCCATGAGATATACAATTGTGATCGAAGATGGGCACCTCGACACTGCGCACTGGCTTAGAATCCAATGCAGCCGATCCGCTGTGCTCGCTTTCGTGTCGTCAAGAATTCCAGATTTGCTTTATGACGGCCGTGGTGATTATTCTCCAGTTTCAGCCACAAGATCCAGGATAAACGCAGCATAGACGGAGACTGAGGAGAGCGGAAGACGCAGGCACCGCGAGTCGGTGTGGCCCGGTATAAAGAAGGGAAAGAGCAAACAGATGACAATAACGCGTCGCGTCGCGCGTCGCCTTGAAGTCACCCTGGACTTCTTTTCTCTCCGTCAAAGCGGCCGACGTTTACCTGATGCTGTGCGGCCAATCAGTATACTGCGTGACAGGCAACACATACTCTTCTAACTCAATGGCTACTCGCAAGGCAACAGCAAAGATCCTGTGACGCTCTCATTGCTTTTGCCAGACGGACCACGATAATACCATCAATCTTGCCCGATGACCGACTGCTTGGAATGCCTTCCATCCCGCACGGCTCGACGACAGAGCAAAAGCGCGAGTTGCGCGAAAATCATTTCGATCGTACCTCTAATCATGGCAAGGTTTCAATTAGAGGATTGTCCGCTGCGCACAGCGCCACGGGATCCGCCTGGACCCATGAGAAATGCTATGCATACCCTTCTTTGTGAGTTTCCCGCCCTCACGCACGCACCGTCGTAATATTTTCGCGCCCATTGTCTATCTGTACCTTTACAAGCCGTCGGACAGGCATGTCACGAGCATCGACAGTCGATTCCCCCGTCATGGGTGGGAAGAGCGAGCTGCGGTCGCGCACATTCTGTCTCTTGACCGTTCCGGAGTATCTACATCGTGACAGGTGTGTTCGCTGACAGATGAGTCAACATCGCATGATGCAGGCGGTGGAGGAGGCCCGAGGATGGTGGCCTACCGAACGGACACGTATGATCAGGTGAGTGGACTCGTTCATTATGAGGTTTCGAGAATATACCCGGCTGATCGACATGGTTCTGCAGTGACGAGACCTGTGTTCGCTAGTGAGTGAGGACATGTCTGGCTCCTAATCTTTTGATGAAATTTGCATGCCTTTCTTGCTTCAGGGTCTACGCCTACAGGTAGCTAAGTCATGATTAGCTATAATGTGTCCTCCCATCAATATGCGTAGGAAGTGCACGACTCACGTTCGCATGTTGTAGCAGATTGATTCATAATAGAAATAAATGGATACTAGTTGCTGCACATATGATACACTGGTATTTGCTACAAATTGTTCATGACATGATATCTATCCATATGATCTGATACACTAAATGCGTGGTGGGATACTTTTTCTGCCGCCGACCTCAACGCCGAAACGCTTCAGCTTTTCAAAGTATTTCTGCACACGGCTGGCAACCTGCCTGGCCGTCCTTCGCCCATTCATCGCCTTGGATATCTTTGCCCACCTGCGACGCACATGGACATCAGTAAGCTGTCAAGCAACAATCATCGCATAGAGTGTCATCCCACCTGTTCTTCTCGCCCTCGGGTATTTCCTCTAGGAGCCGCTCCAGGAGGTGCTGCTCAGAGACGGACCACGCCTGCTTGTACGTCTCCGATTTTGGCTTTTCCTTCTTCTTTCCATTCTGCTTAGCATCAATCTGCTCCTCACCGTCAACGTCCCTCTCAGCCTCCGGCGCAGCTGCGACCTTTGTCTCTGCATCGCGCTTTCTCTTCCCCTTAGCGGACAACACGGATGAGCTGACATCAGTCTCTCTTGCCTGCGCCTTCCTGCTCGGCTTGCGCTCGCGAACAACTCTGACGTGACTATCCTCAGAGGAAGCCACTGGAGGAAGACCAGAATATGTCGAGACGGATGAAACAACGGATGTGGGCGGAGTATCCACCTCCATGCGCATCCCGTGCTGTCCCGGCCCCAGCGCAGACGTTTCACCCTCCGTGTCCCCATCAGCAGAAATTTCCACCTCCCCGCTCTCATCTTCCTGATCCCGCCGAATGAACACGCCATTCACGGTGCGCGGGCGGCGGAGTCCCGCAACGAGGGGCACGTCTTGCCCACGGTCGATGCGGCGTTTCTTGAGCTCGCGGATCTTCTCACGCTCGCGCTGCCGACGGAGCTCCTCAGGATCGAGCGCGTCGTCTTCGTCGGATGCGGAGCGCTCGGCGAATAGACCGTAGGCGGGGAGGATGGGGTCGAGGATAACTGCGCGTTGGTCTTTGACGAACTGCTGAAGGGGAGAGAGGGGAGAGCTTTGGGTGAGGGATGAGCGGCTCCGTTCGCCTTGTACACGCCTGAGAGTGGACGCGAGGTCTTTGAATGGGGATGGATCTGAGGCGAATGAGTGAAGAAAACGCATACATCTAGTCGAGAGTCTCACCATAAGACCTAAACACTCCCCAATCAATTTCTCTTGCAATGGATGGAGTCAAACCCGGCTGCTCACTCAATCTGAGAGAACTTAGGGCCAGCTATTTATTTGCATGCTCTTAATGTGGTCTGTCCCAAATCGAAGAGCTCAGCTTACCTTTTTCATGATCCCCTCCATATGACAACCATCGTCTTCTACGATTTGATTCCTCAACTCCCGTAGTCTGGCGATGTCATCCTGTGTCTGTTTCAACAAGGCCTTTTGCGACTTGATGAATTCCGAAAGCGCCTCCAATCTGTGCCTCTCGTCAGTCGGCGTAGTTTGCGCACGCGTGCTTCACTCACGTTTTGGCGCGCTTATCTTCCATCGAATGGGTGACATTTACAAAAGTATGATGCAGAGGCGTTGCGGCAGTGTGAGCGCGGATTTCCGAGTTGCGCCCAAGCGGCGGAGGCGTCAAGTTATTCAGCCACTGCACTGCCCGGCGATCGCCGTGAACTCAAAAAGATATCTAGAAAACGTTAACAGTTCTGCAGCTTACGATGTCCTTGTGGGCGAAATCGTGGCCGGATGTTCTGATGTCCACATCCTCTGCATCGAACCTGACTCCGGAAATGATTCCACAATCTGTTGTTTCTCCTCCTGGGTTACACCAGCCATGTACATTTGATTCAAGGCAATTCAATATCCGCGTTTAAACCAAAATCAGCTGCTCTTTCCGGAGTTATCTCTTTACCGACCCCACACGTTGAAGACGCGATACAACTCCATCTCCTCCCAACTTCCAGGTTCCCCGCAAACTTAAAACAACGTTAAGAACGCCTGAGACGGCATGTCGGACGGTATGGTCGATTGTGAATGCAGTGACGACGGGTCTTACACGTGCGACAGACTTGACAATCCCTTCGCTGTTCGATGTTCAGGGCAAAGTGGGTAAGTGCGCTCCTCCTCTCATAGATCACAACGGGTGCCGTAATCAGAATTATTAGTGGTCATTACAGGCGGCGGTATCGGCATTGGCACGATGATCGCGTCTGCCTTTGTGCAGAATGGCGCAAAGGTGTACATTGCTGCTCGTAAAGAGGCTCAGCTGAAATCGGTCAGTGCCTTTGCATTCCGCAAGGTGTTTGTAGCAAGTGTTCCAATCGAGTATCTAACCACAGACTGCCGAGACGCTGAACAAGCGTGGTCCGGGAAGTTGCCACTACTTCGTTGCCGACTTGAGCGTGAGTAGGACCTTCGCCTTTCCATGCGCTGTCTCTCATTCTGGATAACAAATAGACGAAAGCCGGCTGCGAAGCACTTGCCGCTTCCATTAAAGCCAGAGAGCCCAAAATACACGTTCTCGTGAATAACTCGGGTACTACTTGGGGCGCGCCGTACGACAAGTGAGCGCTGCGATATCACCGCAGAAAAGCATGAACGTCATCTTCACGCCTTTCTAGCTTTCCGGAAATAGGTTGGGACCGTACTCTCGCGCTGAACGTCAAGAGTATTTTCTACTGTGCGCACTCTCTATACCTAGCCTTGCTCAATGCTGACTGAGGACGTGTTACAGTGACCGTCGCGTACGTTTCCGCTCTATATGCGCTGGTTACATAGATTTTGACGTCAACTCCCTGCACGATAGGCTGACCGACGCGCTAGAAGCGGCGGGCTCCCAAGCCGATCCTGCACGAGTGATCAATATCTCGAGTATCGCGGGCTTGACATCATCGCCTTGGGATAACCGTGTGTCTATCGAAGGCGTTGGACTGTGGAGTTGTGCGTGTGTTCCTCGGTCAGCCTCTATCTTTAGCTGACTCCGACCATTCACAGATAACACAAGCAAAGCTGCAGTCAACCATCTCACGACGCAGCTTGCTACGACGCTGCTGCCAAAGCACATCACGTATGTGTATATTTTACCCGTGCATGTGTGAATGCTGACAAACCTTGTTCGTCGACCTTCCGGCAGCGTAAATGCGATCCTGCCGGGGTGAGCACAAGTCTTTGGTTCTCTCGTCCTGTTTCACGCAGGTAAGAGCCATCAACAGGATTTTCCCATCCAACATGACGAAGTTCGGCTTGAAAAAGCATGGAGCAGATAGTGTTGCATTGCAGAATCCCATGGGTACGTTCAATCCTTGTCAGCCTTGCCGTCGTCATTGAGCTGATGAATGCAATGATAGGCCGGCTGGGCACGCCGCGAGACATGGCAGGCGTCGGTATGTTCCGGATCTCCTCTCAGCTCCTTCGCGTCTCACTCAGCCTTGTATTTCCAGCGTTATTCCTCGCGAGCCCTGCCGCTTCGTATGTAACGGGCGCACACATAGTGCTCGACGGAGGAGACCTTATCTCGTTGCAAATACCGAGGCCCTCAGATAAGGCAGCGGCGAAGCTCTGATGTCAGAGCCTATGATGGAGAGGACGTGGATTCTTGCATATGTAGTAAGTGGTTGGTATATGCCCTCACTCTCGCCCCTGATGTTCGTATTGATGAAGAGTTGGTCTGCCTCGTGTGACAAGGATTGGGTTATCGCTCCGATCTACAGAATGTACAGTACGCCATATGAATGCCAGGCTCTTGTGGCGCCTTACGCCTATACAGTATATGTCATGTTTATCGACACGCTAGGCTGCATTACATTGGTACGTTTATTTATTCTTTCAAGTATTGAAACACATTAGAGGCACTGTCAATGGTCGCATCCGTCAATGTCCAACCCCCCTCGCGGCGCCGTCCCCACCCCTTCATCGTCTTCAACAAAGTCTCGCACTTCCCACCGACGCCCTCGTACGCTGTTCTATGCAACACTGCATTTCCACCACGCTCACTTCTTCGCAAATCCCGTACTAAGCTCAAAGTCTATGAGAGGAGCGTCGTCGTTGTTCGGGCTTAGTCGCACCTGTATCTTCCTTTGAGTCCACGGCGGCATCATGCAGGCGTCGTACGCACGAATGGCGCGCATGAAGATGGACGACCAGTCCTAGATTCCGTCTTCGATGCGAAACGGCCTGGAACGGTGGTCAGTATACATAAGCTGAAATGTGCGGGCTCAATCCGGGCGTCAGTCTCTCCAAATGGTGAGATGTGCAAAGCATTTTGGCCTGCTTCTAGAAGCAGCGCAAAACTCGTCACCTTCACATGAGCGAGCATGAGCACCTGGCTAATGCGCGTTCCACGTTACCCTGCTCCTCATGAATACCACCGTGCTCGACCGCCTGTCTCGTATGCGCGCCAGTACCACATTTCAAGTCGTTTCCACCACCCCGGACCTGATCGTGCGGAACTGTGAATGGCTGCTGCAGGCCTGGATATCCCTCGTCGTTTGGCAGATACGAGGTGCACCTATCCGCTTTCCTCGAGGTAATAATTTACTGGTGACCAGTGATAATCCATATTTCCTGATACCGGGGCGAGAATTCGGACGAGTTGAAACGGACCCGTTGTCCAAACGCGATCACGTGATAACAAGCCAACGAACACTCCTGCACGGTTGATAGAGAGAAGTCGCGTTGATTAGCTGTTATGATACAATTAGATTATAAGAACATGAGATGAGAAAGAATTTAACATGATGCGTGGGATGCTGATGCTTTAAGCTGATGTCACATCAGCAGGCGAGCTGAGACTAGATGAGAAAGCTCAGAGTCTTCCAGTCGCTGAATGTGTGCATTGAAACAGAGGGAACCTAAACCAGCAACTTAGTGCTATTTGATGATGCACAGCTAGGGAGCTCACGTTGCGCTCAGAAACGGGGATGCCACGACAGCATGGGCGATCACAATCACGCGAAGACCCTGCAAGCCTCTGACAGTGTCAGCCTCTAGAATTAGGCACATATAAACGCGTCCTCTCGCTCTCGTCTCTTCAGGAGCTGGTCTCCTTCCTCCAACCGTCACGACTCGTTCGTGTGCTTTCGTTCGTCTATTTTCGTCCTCTCTCACAGCTGGTCCGTGTGCTTTCGCTCTGTCACGGCTGATCCGCGCGCTTTCGTTCGCTTTCGTCACCGACATCTGAGGCCGACACGCTGGGCGAGCATCATCATCATCCACTCGTAAAACTTGCATCAATACTCACCCTTGTACAGCCTATGCAGCCGTGTCCGCGAATCTTTCGCCGTCAAGATCAGGGTCGACAGCAGAGATACCGCAACTTAGTCATCGGGGTTCCTTTCCTTCTTCGCCAACTTCTGAGGAATCGGAACGCTGGGTACGCCTCACTACCATTGCACATGGTCCCCGCTTTTCACTCTCGCGCTCCTTTAGACATGCCCGCGAACTTTCATCGTCAAGGTCAAGACCAACAGCAGAGATACCGCGACTTGGAAGTGGCTCCTCGTCGGTGGTTGTCTTAGACAACACGCTCAGTATGTTTCTGCCATCCCTCACAACCGCATACTGTCGATACTGACGTTGATCCAATCGTCGCAGACGTGTGTTCTCGCGCCATCGAACTGTATCATGAAGTAAGTTACATCCTTTGACACGCCTGCAGTCGGTGGCTGACAAGTGTAAACAGGAGTGTACGTTGGAGAGAGTGGTCAAAATCTCGAGGCTGGACGTGGAGCACCGAGAGATGAGTAGGAGGAAGGCCGAGCAGTGCGCCGCGGAATTTGGAGCAGGCCTTCGACGTGGAGGATAGGGGTGAAGGACGGGGAGCGGCCAAGAACTCGAAGCTGGACTTTGAGCTCGGGGAGAATCGTTACGGACGCGGAGATAGGTGTCGGACTCCATCAGGTACATAGTCACGGACTCGGAGATGTCGATGGACTCCATAGAGACAAAGCAACGGTCTTCGTTGTACGAGAGTAACAGTCGGTGGTAGCTGTACGGTCGAGCTGGTACTTGATCAAACACTACCGATTCTTCCTGGCATACTATTGCTGCGGGAGATATGGCAAGCCTATGTAGACCCAATAGACCGCAATATCGCGGAACGTTGTGAAGCATCAGATCAATAGAATATAGGCGCGAGGGACAGAGTCGACTGCGATCCGGGCTGTCTACGTTCTGCATGAATGCTAAACCAAACCAGATAAACAGCAGATCAGTGCCAAGCATTCTCGGGCATAAAGTAGCATCAGCGAGGCTTTCACTAGAGCTCTTTAACGCTTCCAACCGACAGAGACGCAATTCCAAATGGAAGCGATTCCGACGGGCGCATTTGATCTCCAATGCACGAGAAGTAACTGAAGGCGGCCAGTTTCAAGCCGATCTTGTGCATAATCCAGTTGCATCGAAACATCGACGAAATGCGATCATGTTGATCAAAAGCCGTGGGTCAGTAAAACCAGAGAGGTCGAGCACCACATTTAACGAACGCCTCGAAAAGACCGCAATCAGCATTTTGAGCCACCAGTATCAAATACTGCCAAACATAAGGCAAGCGCCCATGCATTGCTCACTTACTATGCCCTGACGACCAAGCTCCATGACCGCTTCGTAACGACTGCCCGGACATAGATGTACGTGATCATAAAGAAAACGCCATCCCGTCACTGAAACCGGTGTACGATGATTAGGAAGTTCTCGGAGGTCGTTACGTGCATCCGAGGTACGCAGATTCAATTGAGCCACAACCGGTTTGATTTACAGTGACCAGAGAGCTCCCTTTAAGCAGTGGATAGTAACTATCGAAGCGACGTTATTTCTCTGCTGAAACTCTCATAATGGCCGGGAAACGGAAAAAGCAGATCCCTAAGCGTCAGGATCGCTCCATTGCTCTTCCCCCAGAGATTCTCACCAGAATTTTCAAATATCTCGTGCTCTCATCGAATGCAACGAAGCCCTACCAATGGATCACCACCACGCATGTATGTACGCGCTGGAGGACTGTTGCACTCAACGACGCCACTCTGTGGAGCCGCCTGCACGTAACTGCCAGCGAGGACCTGGTCAGAGAGCTGCTCAAACGCTCCGGGCGTGCAGCGCTCGTTGTTTATGTAACACTTAAACCCGTTCACAGGGACAGCGGGAACTACAGCGCCTTTTATGAGGACAGCGAGGACGACCGCGCCGATGATGACAGCGAGGACGACGGCACCGATGGTGACAGCGAGGACGACGGCACCGATGGTGACAGCGAGGACGACGGCACCGATGATGACAGCGAGGACGACGGCACCGATGATGACAGCGAGGACGACGGCACCGATGGTGACAGCGAGGACGACGGCACCGATGATGACA